ACCACGAGATGCAGAGCCAACCTCAAGAAATGGGGCTACAGGGTGGAATCCTCGGCATGCGAGTGCGGAGAAGAGCCAACCACTGACCACCTGCTGCAATGCACCCTGAGCCCTGCCACATGCACAAGGGAGGACCTTCTTGCGGCAACACCAGAGGCACTCCAAGTGGCCAGATACTGGTCAAAGGACATTTAACCAAATACCAAATTTGCAAAATCTGTGTGTTTCTTTCTTTCTTTTTAATCTGTGTGTTTGTTTTGCTCTGTTAGAATTGTAATACAATGGTTGCTGATGACACGATAAATAAATAAATAAATACATACTTCCTTTTAGACACCTTTCCTGCCCATCTCCCCTTTCTTCTCAGTTTCCTGCCCATCTCCCCCCTCTTCACACGTTCCAATACAAGGTTTCCAGTGCCCTCTTCTGGCTTCAAAATGTCACAGAGAGAAAACTGAGGCAGCCAGGATGATTCAGTCAGGAGGTCACGGAGGGAATTTGTGATGTCTCCATGCCGTCAGAAATTGACTCCAAACACCACCGATGCCCAGGTTAGTTGAAAAATGCATTGTCTGCTAAGGATGTGGGTCAATCACCCACCCGCAAACCCCGCCAGTGTGCAAATTTAGCCATGTTGGGTCTGGGTGTCAAGTTTGGTCCAGATGCACCATTGGTGGGGTTCGGAATGGAGGCAAGGGGAACTGGTATGTATGGGTCCAGATGTAGGCAAGCTTGTCCTTACCCCTCGATGGCGGGCGACCTCTCAGGGCGGGAGCTGTAGCGTGCCCGGTAGCGTCGTGCCACGGGGAGCCGGGGGGGCCGCCCGGGGCCCCAGAGGTCGGTGGGGTGGGCCGGGGGTCCCCGCTCGCTCTCCCGGGGGCCGCTCCCCTCCGCCGCCTCCAGGCCTCCCCCGCCACTCAGCAACGGGAAGACCATCGAGCGGTCCAACTGGTCCCAGAACTAGAGGAGGGAAAGAGAGAAGCAAAGGTCCATGCATTGGCACACACGTGGCCTGGACTAGATGACCTTCGGGGTGCCCTTTGCACCTCAGGGAATATACCGCCTTGCCTACTTCCCTCTATGGAGGCCTTTAAACCGATACGATTATTATTATTATTATTATTTTATTGTTGTTATTATAGGTTGCTTACCTATAACCGTAGTTTCCCAAGTGATCACCTGTGAATTTGCACATCCGCGCCCATCCTCCCCGCTGTTGTCATGCCTCGGTTTTTCTAGCGGCTTTCGCGGCGGAAGAACTGAGGCGGTGGCGCCACCCACCTGCTACTTATATATATATATATATACTTGCAAGGGGAGAGTGGGCGGGGCTAACCGCCAAAGTTTTTCAAATCTATCTAGAAGGTTCCGCAGAAACTACCATATGTGCAATTCACAGGGATCACGATGGGAAAACGACAGATCCGCAAGGAGAGACTCACCTCTGCAAAGGGAGTGGAAGGGCTGTCGTCGATCCCGCTGCCGACGCCGCCGCCTTCGAGGAAACTAGGGGAAAGAAACGAGATCCACATGGAGAGCGGTGCCGGCGCGTCCCTGAAATACTTCCCGCCCCTGAGTCGTGCCTAAAGATAGGCTGCGGGGATTGGTTGTCGTTTAATGCGCTTTATTTATATCCTGCTGCGTTGGGGGCTGAGTCAAGAGGCTCCTTCCAGACCCCGAGGTGAGTCAGAGCCGGCCAAGGAAGCCAAAGGCCGACTCCAAATTTGGGGATTGGGGTGTAGACGCGTCACATTGTGTGTCAGCAATGGTGTCATTTTCCATTTCCAAAGGCCAGCCCTCCCTTGACATTAAAGGTATGCTCCCATCTATACCATATGACTCTGGTTCGCTTTAGAGGACGGGGTGTGCGTATACACGCTTTTGAGGCACCTGTCAAATAATAATAATAATAGAGTGTTCCCTCCTTTATCGCGGGTGTGACGTTCCAGGACCATCTGCGAAAAGTGAAAATCGGCGAAGTAGGGACACTATATTTATTTTAGCTGTACCCCACCACACGTTGCTGTGGCCAACCTTCCCTCCCTCTTTCTCTCCTTCTTTCCCTCCTTCCTTCACTCCCTTTCCTTCCTTCCATCCCTTTTTTTCTTTCCTTCTCTCCTTCCTTCCTTCTCTACCTCTTTCCTTCCTTCCCTCACTTTTTGCTTCCATACTTACTTCTCTTTCCTTCCCTCCCTCTTTCTCTCCTTCTTTCACTCCCTTTCCTTCCTTCCATCCCTTTTTTTCTTTCCTTCTCTCCTTCCTTCCTTCTCTACCTCTTTCCTTCCTTCCCTCACTTTTTGCTTCCATACTTACTTCTCTTTCCTTCCCTCCCTCTTTCTCTCCTTCTTTCACTCCCTTTCCTTCCTTCCATCCCTTTTTTTCTTTCCTTCTCTCCTTCCTTCCTTCTCTACCTCTTTCCTTCCTTCCCTCACTTTTTGCTTCCATACTTACTTCTCTTTCCTTCCCTCCCTCTTTCTCTCCTTCTTTCACTCCCTTTCCTTCCTTCCATCCCTTTTTTTCTTTCCTTCTCTCCTTCCTTCCTTCTCTACCTCTTTCCTTCCTTCCCTCACTTTTTGCTTCCATACTTACTTCTCTTTCCTTCCCTCCCTCTTTCTCTCCTTCTTTCACTCCCTTTCCTTCCTTCCATCCCTTTTTTTCTTTCCTTCTCTCCTTCCTTCCTTCTCTACCTCTTTCCTTCCTTCCCTCACTTTTTGCTTCCATACTTACTTCTCTTTCCTTCCCTCCCTCTTTCTCTCCTTCTTTCACTCCCTTTCCTTCCTTCCATCCTTTTTTTTCTTTCCTTCTCTCCTTCCTTCTCTACCACTTTCCTTCTTTCCCTCGCTTTTTGCTTCCATACTTCCTTCTCTCTTTCCTTCCCTGCCTCTTTCGTTCCTTCTTTCCCTCCTTCCTTCGCTCCTTCTTTCCTTCCTTCCCCTATTTTTTCCTTCTCTCCTTCCTTCCTTCTCTACCTCTTTCCTTCCTTCCCCCCTTTTCTTTTTCTTCTCCTTTCTCTTTCTTCCTTCTCTGCCTCTTTCCTTCCTTTGCTTTTTGCTTCCATCCTTCCTTCTTTCCTTCCCTCCCTCTTTCGCTTTTTGCTTCCATCCTTCCTTCTTTCCTTCCCTCCCTCTTTCCCTCCTTCCTTTGCACGCTCTTTCCTTCTATCCATCCCTTTTTTCCTTTCCTTCTCTCCTTTCTTCCTTCTCTGCCTTTCCTTCCTTCACTTTTTGCTTCCATCCTTCCTTCTTTCTCTCCTTTCTTCCTTCTCAACCTCTTTCCCTTCTTCCTTCGCTCCCTTTCCTTCCTTTCATTTTTTTCTTTTCTTCTCTCCTTCCTTCGCTACTCCTTTCTTTCCTTCCCCCTTTTCTTTTCCTTTCTCTCCTTTCTTCTTTCTCAACCTTTCCCTTCTTCCTTCGCTCCCTTTCCTTCCTTTCCTTTTTTTCTTTCCTTCTCTCCCTCCTTCCTTCGCTACCCTTCTTTCCTTCCCCCTTTTCTTTTCCTCTTCCCTCCTTTCTTCCTTCTCAACCTCTTTCCCTTCTTCCTTCGCTCCCTTTCCTTCCTTCCTTTTTCTTTGCTTCTCTCCTTCCTTCCTTCCTTCCTTCGCTACCCCTTTCTTTCCTTCCCCCTTTCCGTTTCCTTTCTCTTTCTTCCTTCTCTACCTCTTTCCTTCCTTTCTTTGCTCTTTGCTTCCATGCTTCCTTCTATCTTTCGGTTTGCGTTTTTGGTTTCTCTTTATTGTAATTGTTATATGTAAGCCGCTCCGAGTCCCCATTGGGGAGATGTTGGTGGGGCATAAATCAAGTTTATTATTATGATGAAATTTTGAAAGTTTTGTTAGAGTTCTGAAATTTTCACCACCAGAACTTGACCAACACTGTAGAAGCAAAGCACCAGCGCCCCCTAGATTCCACCACCAGAGCTTTAGCTTTGTAAGCACTTTAGAACCCTCTAGAACCATGGATTGCCCAGCCCTACTACATAACCCTCCTTGAACGTGGTGTTCACGTAATCCTCGGCTCCGGCTTTATCCGCAGAGGCAGCCATATTGAAAAACCGCGAAACAGCGAGTCCACGAGAAGTGAACCGCAAAGTAGCGAGGGACCACTGTACCTGGAATCGTCAGTCACTTCTTCAATAAATCCCGATTCGCACCTGGGACAGGTGTACTCCTGCAGGGAGATAAAGACAAGGTTGACTATATAAGTATCCATCAGTACTTAAGTTTTCTCTAGATGCATCATGGGTGAGGTTCAGTGGCAACAGGGTGAACTACAACTCCCACCATGGTGGGTCAATCCCCTCAAACTCCTCCAGGAGGTTGAGTTAGTCATAGGGGTTCTGTGTGCCCAGTTTGGTCCATCATCGGTGGAGGTCACTGTTTCTCTGGTTGTGGGTGAACTACAACTCCCACCATGGTAGGTCAGTCCCCTCAAACCCCTCCAGGAGGTTGAGTTAGTCATAGGGGTTAAGTGTGCCCAGTTTGGTCCAAGTCCATCATCAATAGAGGTCACTGTTTCTCTGGTTGTGGGTGAACTACAACTCCCACCATGGTGGGTCAATCCCCTCAAACCCCTCCAGGAGGTTGAGTTAGTCATAGGGGTTCTGTGTGCCCAGTTTGGTCCATCATCGGTGGAGGTCACTGTTTCTCTGGTTGTGGGTGAACTACAACTCCCACCATGGTAGGTCAGTCCCCTCAAACCCCTCCAGGAGGTTGAGTTAGTCATAGGGGTTAAGTGTGCCCAGTTTGGTCCAAGTCCATCATCAATAGAGGTCACTGTTTCTCTGGTTGTGGGTGAACTACAACTCCCACCATGGTGGGTCAGTCCCCTCAAACCCCTCCAGGAGGTTGAGTTAGTCATAGGGGTTAAGTGTGCCCAGTTTGGTCCAAGTCCATCATCAATAGAGGTCACTGTTTCTCTGGTTGTGGGTGAACTACAACTCCCACCATGGTGGGTCAATCCCCTCAAACCCCTCCAGGAGGTTGAGTTAGTCATAGGGGTTAAGTGTGCCCAGTTTGGTCCAGGTCCATCATCAATAGAGGTCACTGTTTCTCTGGTTGTGGGTGAACTACAACTCCCACCATGGTGGGTCAGTCCCCTCAAACCCCTCCACGAGGTTGAGTTAGCCATAGGGGTTCTGGGGGCCCAGTTTGGTCCAAGTCCATCATCGGTGGAGGTCACCGTTTTTCTGGTTGTGGGTGAACTACAACTCCCAGAAAGGAAGGCCAGTATTCCCCAAACCCCTCTAGTAATCAAAGTTGGGCATATCAGCTCTGTGTGCCAAGTTTGGTCCTGATCCATTGTCATTTCAGTTCAGTGTTCTCTGGATATAGGTGAACTACAACTCCCCGCAATCAAGGTGAATTTTCCCCAAAGTTTTCCCCAAAGTCCTCCAGTATTTTTTGCTGAAGCTCTGTGTACCAAGTTTGGTCCAATTCCATCTTTGGTGGAGTCCAGAGGGCTCACTGATTGCAGGTGAACTATACATCCCAGGACCTACAACTCCCAAATATCCAGGCCAATTCCACTCAAAACTCACCAAGTATTCCAATTTGGGGCATGCCAAGTTTGGTTGAGATCCATCATTGTTTGGGTTTGCCATGCACTTTGGATGTAGGGGAACTACAACTCCTATTATTATTGTTCATTCGTCCAGTCGCTTCCAACATTCGTTCAGTCAACCCCCGAGGGGGGGACTCAGAGCGGCTTATGAACCAGCCCACGCCGGAGCTCCCTGTCGGCCGTCACCACCCCCAGCTCCTTCAAGGTATTATATCTCTCTCTCTCTCTCTAAAAGAATGTTGTTGTTGTTATTATTATTAAGTTTATTATTTATATCCCGCTTCTTTCCTCCAGAAAGGAGACTCAAAGTGGCTTACAATTAGAAGTGTTTATTATTATTATTATTATTATTATTATTATTATTATACTATATTGTATTACTATTATGAGATTTATATCCCTCTCCAAAATAATTAATATTACTATTATTATTGTGTTTCTTATTATTATTATTTTACTATACTGTATTACTGCTCTTATTAGATTTATATCCCTCTCCAAAATAATTAATATTACTATTATTATTGTGTTTAATATTTATATCCTGCTTTTGTCCTCCAGAAAGGAGACTCAAAGTGGCTTACAATTAGAAATGTTATTATTATTATTATTATTATTATTATTATTATTATTATTATTATTTTACTATATTGTATTACTATTATTAGATTTATATCCCTCTCCAAAATAATTAATATTACTATTATTGTTGTGTTTAATATTTATATCCTGCTTCTTTCCTCCAGAAAGGAGACTCAAAGTGGCTTACAATTAGAAGTGTTATTATTGTTATTACTATTATTCTATATTGTATTACTGCTATTATATTTATAACCGTCTCCAGATTTATATCCCTCTCCAAAATAATTAATATTACTATTATTATTGTGTTTCTTATTATTATTATTTTACTATACTGTATTACTGCTCTTATTAGATTTATATCCCTCTCCAAAATAATTAATATTACTATTATTATTGTGTTTAGTATTTATATCCCGCTTCTTTCCTCCAGAAAGGAGACTCAAAGTGGCTTACAATTAGAAGTGTTATTACTATTATTCTATATTGTATTACTGCTATTATTATATTTATAACCGTCTCCAAACTAATATTACTATTATTATTGTGTTTAGTATTTATATCCTGCTTTTTTCCTCTGCAAAGGAGAATCAAAGTGGCTTACCATTAGAAGTTGTGATTATTATTATTATTATTATTATTATTTTATTGTATAACTGCTATTATTATTTTATATCCCTCTCTCAAACAATTAATATTACTATTATTACTGTGTTTATTTATATCCTGCTTTTTTTCCTCCAGAAAGGAGACTCAAAGTGGCTTACAATGAGAAGTGTTTATTATTATTATTATTATTATTATACTATATTGTATTACAGCTATATTTATATCCCTCTCCAAAATAATTAATATTACTATTAATTTTGTGTTTACTATTCATATCCCGCTTCTTCCCTCCAGAAAGGAGACTCAAAGTGGCTTACAATTAGAAGTGTTTATTATTATTATTATTATTATTATTATTATTATTATTATTATATATTGTATTACTGCTATTATTATATTTATAACCGTCTCCAAACTAATATCACTATTACTGTTATTTTTCATATATATATCCCGCTTCTTTCCTCCAGAAAGGAGACTCAAAGTGGCTTACAATTAGAAGGGGTGTTGTGCTCATCTCCATTTCTAAGCTGATGAGCCGGCATTGTCCATAAACACCTCCACGGTCATGAGGCTGGCATGACTGCATGGAATGTGTCCAGAGGAGGGTGACTCAAATGATCAAGGGCCTGGAGAACAAGCCCTATGAGGAGCGGCTTAAAGAGCTGGGCATGTTTAGCCTGAAGAAGAGAAGGCTGTGAGGAGACATGATTTTGATGTTCCCCTTGACAATTAACACTTGCCTCAAACACTAACCTCTGGAGTGTCGTGCTCATCTCCATTTTTAAGCCGAAGAGCCGGCACTGTCCATAGACACCTCCAAGGTCATGACTGCATGGAGTGCCATTACCTTCCCGCCAGAGCAGTAACTATTGATCTATTCACATTTGAATGTTTTCGAACTGCTAGGTTGGCAGAAGCTGGGGCTAACAGTGGGAGCTCACCCGCTTCCCAGATTCAAACCTGCAACCTTAGAATCATAGAGTTGGAAGAGACCAAATACTGTATATACTCGAGTATAAGCCTAGTTTTTCAGCCCTTTTTTTAGGCTGAAAAAGTCCGCCTCAGCTTATACTCGAGTCAAGGTTATTTATTATTTTACTCTGTTATTATTATTATTATTATTATTATTATTATTATTATTATTATTATTCTATATTGTATTACTGTTATTATATTTATATCCCTCTCTCAAACAATAATAATAATATCCAGAACCACCTCTAAGTTTGATCCCTTTCCAAAGCCGTGTGTGCCAGAACAGATTAAGCTTCAGAGATATAAGGAATGCTGGGAAACATCTAGGTTTCCAAGAAGCGAGAACGAAAGCAAAACTCAAACTCAAAGTGAAAGGTCCTCTAGCCGCTCATAAACAACGTGTTGTACTCCAGAGCAGGGACAGTTCTTCAATAAACTGCTTGCTGATTATACCAAGGACAATCAGCAAGCAGTTTATTGAAGAATATATGTAAACAAAGCAGTAAAAATGGTAAAAACAGTATAGTCCAAAGATAAGAGATAGCCCATGAGCTTCAAGACATAGAGGTTAAACACAAGATCCAAAGGTATTACCGTATATACTCGAGTATAAGCCAACCCAAATATAAGGCGAGGAACCTAATTTGACCACAAAAAACTGGGAAAATGTATTGACTCGAGTGTAAGCCGAGGGTGGGAAATGCAGCAACTACTAGTAAATTTCAAAATAAAAATAGATACCAGTAAAATTATACTAATATAATTATACTGAATTATACTTGGGCATCAGTAGGTTAAAGACCTAGGTTAAAGTAGGTTAAAGACCGCTGTGACGGTCTGGATGAGGGCGAACAAATTGAAATTGAATCCAGACAAGACAGAGGTCCTCCTGGTCAGTCGCAAGGCCATTGAACAGGGCATAGGGTGACAGCCTGTGTTGGATGGAAGGGGCCGCACTCCCCCTGAAGACACAGGTTCGCAGTTTGGGTGTGATCCTGGACTCATCGCTGAGCCTGGAAGCCCAGGTTTCGGCGGTGACCAGGGGAGCATTTGCACAGCTAAAGCTTGTGCGCCAGCTGCGCCCGTACCTTGGGAAGTCTGACTTGGCCACGGTAGTCCACGCTCTGGTTACATCCCGTTTAGACTACTGCAACGCTCTCTACGTGGGGTTGCCTTTGAAGACAGCTCGGAAGCTCCAACTAGTCCAACCCTCGGCAGCCATGATTTTAACAGGAGCGGAGCGCAGGGAGCATACAACCCCCCTGTTGCGCCAACTCCACTGGCTACCGATCTGCTACCGGGCTGAATTCAAAGTGCTGGCGTTGGCCTTTAAAGCCCTAAACGGTTCTGGCCCAAGCTACCTATCTGACCGCATCTCTGCCTATGAACCCACCAGGACTTTGAGATCTGCCGGGGAGACCCTGCTCTCGATCCCGCCT